TTAAGTCGATCGCGAAGAGTTTTCAAAATCAGAGAAAAAACACCAATATTTGTATTCATTATTATTTATTACTTAAAAATGCACCATGTGTGAGCCTACTGTGTGTAGTAAATGGTGTCTTGGGGATCCAGAGGCGCGCGCGCCGTTACAATGACGTCATTTTGGGCTCATGCGGACACGTCGAGTATAAACAAGGCTTTACGCTTTAACCAGCTCAGCCACTTCACCCTACGCTCACATCAAGCTCTTCAAGCTAACGATACGCAAGCTAACGAAACGATGGCACAACGGTGAGGGAGTAGGCTATTGCTAGTTTGAAATCTGCAGGGGTTTTCCTGCATAGACAATTATGAGGCGGCCGCCTCCGTCAAATTTATAGTTAAGAAACAATATAACGTTATAGACTACACACGACCAGAGTGCTGTTTTCCTGAATGCAAGCACGATTGAAACCAAGATATTGATTTCATAACAGTTCAATAAACAAATAGCCTAGTTAAAATTAAGTTACTTACATTTTTAGACGCAATTACTGTTTTTGTTCTGTTTCAGCAGCGAAAATATTTCCAAACAACAGAACCAGCGCATCTCACAGCAACACTCATCCATTATTCATCAATCATCACTGAATGATTCAGCGTTTTGACCTAATCGCTCGAGTCAAAGATTCAATTAACGTTACCCATTATTAAACCGCCTCATTCTGAATCAATCAGCCGTTTGAACGAATCGTTTGAATGAATGACTCAATGACTCGCTCATTAAGACGGCCGCCTGCCGCTTCTACTGGCGGTTTAGTTTCAAAGTATCATTCTTTTCAACATTCCTTATTTGTATATTCAAAAAATATTCAAAACAATCTCATAATCTCATTTAATACAGTTATAATTTTTCAATGTAAATTATTTAATTTGATTGGTAACAGCCTTGTCTTATTATTTTAATTGAATGTATTGATAAAATGTAAGAATTTGAAATGAAATTTAGAGCATACCAGTACATTAAATAAAATTAGGGGGAAAATGCCCTTTATAAAGGTACAAAAAATTATTCCGATAAGAGTGTTTTCAAAAATGAAACATTGACAATTTAAGTTTAAAGGGATAGGCTAAAGCCTCTGTTTAGGCTATAAAGGAAATGTAATTTTGCCAAAAGAAGAACTTTTAATTTAAATAAATGTTAATTTTAAATCAGCCTACTTCAGTGTGATATGTTACCATATTATCATGCTTAATTGAATAATTGTAATGTGATGATCAGATGCAGATATCTAAATCAAAGAATATGGGTGGTTGGCAGGTGGATTATTTTTTATTTTTAACAACAGATTCGAGTGACTCAAAGTGCACCAGATTAATGAATTTATCTTTAAAATGTACAAATTTTTCTCCCGGGGGGGCATGCCCCCGGACCCCCCCAGTGTTGCGATTTTACCAACTCCGCCTCATTTTGAGCCAGGAAAAACCCTTTATTGGCTATTGTTAAAAGGAGATCTGTGTTTTATGTTGTTGGAAACGGGAAAGAGAATCAGTGCTGTACATGACTGTTTTAGGCCTGTAATTGATTGATTATTGAGGTAATGAATAGTAGTAGGTCTGTAATTTGTGTGAAAATATTTTTGAAGAATTGAAGGATGACTGTTGTTATAATATTTTGTATGCTAGTTGCACTTACCATTTTGATTTGAAATAGCCTATGTTTTAAAAGGGAAAATGAAACAGTACATTATTGGCTTAGGCCTGTAATTGACTGATTATTTTGTTTATATATAAGTAATAAGCCTGTGGATATATACTTAACAATGTTATATTACTGTTGAAAATGTTGAATTATAGTTGACAGTTTGTATAGTTATATACTATTTGTATAGTTAAATAAATATTTTGCTAGTGACTAACAGGCAACAAAGAATGTCAAAGTAGAACTACATTGTGGCCTTGTTTTTTCATAATTTTCTGCAAGTGGTAGATCTTGGTTTACATTTGGACTTGGGATGTGATCTTAGGCTTGAAAAGGTTGGTGACCACTGCCATACATCATACTTTCATGATATCATGCAACATACTCTACCTTGTCTGTGGACATCGTTCTTTCCAAAGCCGGCGCTGGATAAACAGCGAGCGCGCGCGACAGTAGGCTGCGCTAGGCTAAAGTATTTACCACAGCGGTAATGGACAATTCCACTTCCAACCTGTAGGGGGACCTTTGAGGAAACGTTACTTAGTGTTGCTTTAAGTCTTATTTTACGAAATTATAAAAATCGATGCAGATTTTTGTTCTCGGTTTAAACACAAACTCACTTAATTTAAAAAAAAAAATTTCATTAAACAAGAGTAAATATCTTCAGTCATTTTGCTTCTCCAGTAAATGTATCTTGATTTAAAATTAAAAAACAAAAATACTGAAGAACATAAAAATGATTGTTTGCCCAAACGTTCTTTCTTCAATGGAACAGAAAATAAGTTATTTTGAAGAACATCGGATTGGACCGCATAGACACATTGTATAAATGGACCAACAAAGAAAACCTGACCATTTTTCAAACTATCTTCCAAAGATGAGAAAAAGGCTTGAAGGCCATGAAGAGAAACAGCTTAAAAAAGGGGAAAAGTGTGTTTTTCTTCACATTTCACTGAATGTGGGCGTTCGTCACTCTCTCGCTCCAGATGAATGACTATCAGTCTCTAATGTCCCTAGAGAGAGTTCGCCTTCTCTATAATCATAGCCATGAAAGCACAGAAACACAAGCGACTGATCCTCGCCTCGACCTACAAACATCCAATCACCTGTGAGCGGCTCGTCCAATCAGCTGTGAGCGGCTCGTCCAATCAGCAGCGGCGCCTCAATGTCACACGCTCTCTGTCAGGATGGAGAACTGCGCTCATTATCTTTGAGTGCTCGTGTCCGTCAGTCAGGATAAACAGGTTTCTGCGTCATGAAGGCATTAAAACACTTACAGCTGCATGCACACATACATGTTTACGTCTAAATGGGGACATTCCTAGACCTCTTTTGACTGAAAACAATTTGGTGTACTTTGAAATAACTGTCACTCAGAAATTGCTAGTAGATTTCACAAGTAATTATAAATAAATGGTAAACATCACGTTGAGTTTTAAGGTTGCATGAGTGGACATAAGTACTAGGACGACTGCTCTAATGAAATCCCCATTTTGGGCAGTCACTGCACCACTCTTCATGGACTCTTGTACTTAGCATATTACACAATACATGATAAGCCGTGTATCAGAACATTCGCAGTCAAATGTTCTCTACCTCCTTGAAGGGGGTATTAAAGTGGATATAAGGGCTTCACAAAAGGCACATTTTGAGCACTTCAGACTGTACCAATCCTTTTTTATTTTCCTTTCAACTTTGCCTATGGGACACAATAAAGGCTGCTATTGCATCATGGCACGGCTTCTCAGCCACAACAGAGGGTGTGTGAAAGCGCACATAAAGGCTTGACAGCAGAGGGACTGGCCCAACATTTTTTTAATGCACTAATCTCTGCTAAGGTCTTGCTAAGTGCCAAGTTCTAGCGTCCATAAAAAAAGATTGGAAAGGTAAAAACTGGCCAGATTTTGGATTTCTGTAGAGCTGTAGCTCTAGTATGAAGAGCTTCTGTCAGATTTAACACACCCTTTAAAGACGACGGAGAATAACAGCTGCTAATTGGGCTGATGGTGCAATAAGCGCTTCTGTGTATTGTCTAATATGCCAAGTTCAAGCGTCCATAATAAAAGATTGGAAAGGTAAAAACTGCCCAGATTTTGGATTTCTATAGAGCAGTAGCTCTAGTATGAAGAGATTCTGTCAGATTTAACACACCCTCAAAGTGGGATGAAAAATCGCACCTCAAATAAAGCTGAAGGCACAAAGCGGCTCAGTGTGCATATTGTCCCATGTGGAACTAATGCCATAGCATGTTATAGTCACTCATTTGATCTTTAATGTTTGTAAAGTGTATTATGTATGTCAACAAAGATGTGATGATTGTGTCATTTATCATCAGCTTTGACTCTCTCTAGATTAACAGAGGGTGTTCTCGGTTCTTGGTTCGAAACTTCCCACCATGATTTTTAATTTTGCTAATATTTTCTGAAGAAACACAAACATAAACAGCGATGAAAGGCAAAAATATTTAATGGCACAAATGAATATTTACTAAATCACCCACTATTTTGTAGAGGATGTTGAAAATGAAATTTAATTTCAACATGACATTTGATTTTTAAGATTTGAAGCCAAATAACTTTAGAAAGATGGCAGAATCATTATTTTATTTTACACAGAAACTGAATGGTTTATTAGTAAAAATCTATAGACTTTAGCAAATCCTTGTTGCATTATATGCCAACGGTGACAGTACAAAAATGTAAATGTCGCAGGAGAACGAGTTCCCAGATGAGTCAAGGTCTGTTGTGTTTCTAAGACTCAGAAACACACTGTAATGAAAAGTGCCGAGAGTGATCAAACCCTCGTCTGTGTCTCCGGCAGACAGACAGGCAGGCAGGCAGACAGACAGACAGACAGAATCCATCAGGACACACATTACGACATGCAAAATGCATTGTTGTTAAATTACCATCAGTTCTTTACTCATACGTTTTGGATTAAAATTAATCATGTGAATATAATCTCGCTGAAAAGGGTCAATATTTTTCTGTCCGTTTGATATCTAAAACTCTGATCTCACATGCATGACAGAATCAGACGGTGAGTTTTGTTGTTTCCATCTCTCTTTAAGTGGCTGGTGTTTTTGTGATGAATTCAGCCGAACATCATTATCTGAGCTGGAGCCGCTGGGAGCTTTAAACACACACGCACGCACACACACACGTGCACACTCACACACTCACACACACACAGACGCTTTGAGAAAACATACAAGTAAAACAACAGACATCCGATTTAAAAACACTATGGTTGAAGAAACCACACACTCTTCAGTCATAAAAACGAGCTGAACATCATTAACAGAAGTAAATGCCCGTCAT